GTAGCAGCACGGTGAAAATGTTCGTAGATCATATCCAAAATCAAAAATACAAGCTTTTTTTATTAAACATATTAATTGCTATCTGTTATCCAAGCGTTTTCTCAAAATTTCAAAAAATAAAAAAATGGCGGCGTGTTGAAAACAAGTTCCTTTTTTTTTTAAATCCATCTTTTTTTGTTTATAACAAAAAAAAATGGGAAATCGAATTAAAAAAAAAGGTTCGTTAGCAGATACGGTATCTTATTAAGAACTCGCGTGCAAAATTTAAAGTCATTCCGTCGAACGTAGCCCGAGTTTTCATGCACATCGTGCATGAAAACATAAATCTGCAAATATTCGCATAACTTCCAAAAAAAATTTTTTTTTAGGCTAAGAATTTTTATTTAAATACTTAATAATATTGTATTAATATCGTAAAAAAAAAAAATTTTTTTATTAAATTGTTGCCCTGCAAAAAAATCTAGAAAATGTACTCACTTTTCGAAGGTTCAAACGGGTATGTCCCCTTAATATGTCGTATTTAATTTAAATATTTCAATATTTCAATTAAAAAAATAGTAATCAATTGAACACATTTAGTCAAGTTAACAACTTTTTCTTTCTCAGTGTAGACGAACACGTCGTTGATTAATTCAACGTGAAAACAATGGCCCCGACATATTTCTAACGCGCAGTATCATCCGTTGCGGACGGTGATCGAGTTTCTGGCAGTTCGAAGAAATGAATAAAAAAAAAAGAGAGAGAAAGAAGAAGGACGCACGATCGACGGACCTTGTATTGTCTCTATCTCACGCGCGGCGGTCTGGAATTTCCTCCGACGATTAGATCACCTACGGAATTGCACGCCGAAAAAATGACGATATGAAACGTTCAAGGAAACTGAAACAGGAGCGCTATAATATAACGTCGCAATTGTAGCGAGCATAGGCTGTAAAACCGCTTACGCAGCTCGCGCGATTACGATGACAGTTACACGAGCCGGATTTACATTTCGGCTTAAATTTTCGCGAGGAATGGCTCGTAGATCTGTTTGCACGCTCTTTCAAAACGCGCGCTCGCGCAAATTTCAACGTTCGAGGTAACGTGATAATTTGAAATATTGGTTGAAGCGTGACGTCATAATTTTCGACAACGATTAAATTTGAAACTTTTTTGTCGGACGAAAAAAAAAATCCCTCATACTATTGGAACAAATGGATGATTCCGGCAGATTCTGATCTTTCTCTTCGGCAAATTATTCCCTCCTGACGTTAGAATGACACGTGGGAATCTCGATGACGACGCGACGCTTCGACAAATAATTTCGACAAATCCGTGACGAGAAAAAGAGTTGAGCGATAGAGACCGATTCCTCCCGCCGATGACCTCGAAGCCAATCGGCAATTTTACAATACCTTGATCTCCTGTGTTTGCGTTCGTGAGAGGGAGCGAGAGAGAGAGAGAGAGAGAAAGAAGGGGGAAGGGGGAAGAGACGCAAACGCGTTGTTGCCACGTCTCTCATCGAGAGCTGTGGACCGTCCAAATACGCTTCTTCCAGAACCCTCCGGCGTCCTCTGGTCCCCTCTTTTCTGGCTCGAGCCTTAAAGGCGATATGGGTATATCTCTTTAAAGCGCCAGCCAGCGACGCGACGACAGTGGTGCTCACGATCGATAGTTTGCGAGGCGCGACGCGAATGTCTATACGCAAATAACAACGATTTGTCATCTGCGTGTATACCATGTGACTGCTACTCGACGCGTAATCTACGTAGACAATGCATAATCCGCACAGACATCGCGTTATAATGATTATATCACATCTTCTCTTTCCTCTCTTATTTCTAAAGATAATAGAATCCTCGATTAAAAAATGATATTTGCATTTTTCACAAGATGAAATTTCCAAGAGAGTCTAAAAGACAGTTATACATCTCAATGACAATCATAATTATGGATCAACTATCCACCGACAAACTGAAGCATCTCGATGAATTCGAACCAGGTGATATTACGCGGAGGAGAAGAAGCGTAAAAAGAAACTCATCCAACGAGAAAGAGAGAGAGAGAGAGAAAGAGCCAGACATGCTCCTCGACTTCGATCAGGTGTGTCGGAGCTAAAACCTGTTGGCTCGCCTTCCTCCTTCCCTTTGTGAGCAAGACAGGTGGTTATAGGGCTCGGGCAGCTTTCGACTCCCTGAATGACGGGAGAGGAAGAAAGAAAATGCGCGGCGCGCGGGGGAGAACGCGGGGAAAACGATCGAATCTCATTCGAGGGATCCAATTTTTCCGGCCCGAATGCCGCCGACGCGCTCCCCGTAAATCCTCCGACGAGGGGACAGGCGGACGAGGACGCACGAGGCGAACAAAGGCCTCGTGCAGTTCGCGTAAAGCATTCGAGAGATGCGAGGATTTGCGAAATAAGCGGCCTTATTATTGCGAGCGGGCCATGAATCATGGCTTCATAATCGAGTCTAAGGCTCCACTTTTGCGACTAGATGTCTACTTTCCACCCCCTCGGGGACTATCGTCGCGAAAGGAAGAACGAGCGACTCGAAATGAAGACAATTTCGTTTTTCTACTCGAATCTTGTAAAAAGATCGCCTGAAAATTTCCTGATCTTCCAGGTATTTTTGTTCAAAATTCTAGGCAAAGAGAATATTTTAAAGATTTTTTGATACAATTTCCAAAAATAAATCTTTTTATTGTACGCGTTTTCTAATGCTTTTCACTTATACGAAGGAAAAACACAAAGCCATTTAAGTTTAAAGAGCTAGATTTGCTACATGAATAATATAAATGTACTGAGAAAAAGATTGAATAGCTTTCGTTAAGACAAAAAAATGTTTAACTTGCATAATATTTTCATTTTTTATCACTAAAAATTAAAGTAAAGAATATGTACTGCATATTCAATATTTTATTAAGACATTAAATATATAAACAGAAATAGATATATATATTTATTATATATAATATATTTTAAACATACACATAATTTACAACTTGGCTTATCGGAGGATTGCTTACAATATAAAAGCAAGATTATTAGAGAGAATTTTTTTTAAAATTCCCTGAGAATTCCAGGTTTTCCATGTTTTTCCAGGGAGTAGACACCCTGTAGATAGAATCAAAGAGAGAAAACCACTCAATTAAATACAAGATTCCTATATCCTATATAGATTCCCCCTTTTGCATTTATTATCGTAACATAGATATGTACAAATAGATCAAATTAATAAAAGTTAATAAAAAACTGTAAATCACTTCGAAAAATATAGCAAGTGCATAGATTTATATCGTTTAAAAAAAATATATATTAACAAAGAGATGGACATAAATTTCTCAAGGATGTACGTGTCATATATCAAAACATTGACAAAAGCATAAAAATTTCGTAGACTGTTCTACTATTTCTTCTGAATATCTGTGCAAAATGTGAGCACAATTATCTGAATGATTTGGGAATTATTTAAGTTTAAATTTATTATTGATTCTTATGGAAAATCGCGTATTGTAGCATTTATTGACAAATTTGACAAGGAAAAAACATTACCAACAAAATAAAAATTTTCACATATATTAAGAAGACTAATAAATATTTGTGCAAAACTTGATTTATATCCATTTATTCGTTTAAAAGTTATTTACTAAAAATTGTAAAAAAATATTATCTGTCTCTCTCTCTCTTTCTTTCTGTAAATTACTCGTTTTTTTTTTTTTGTTTCTTGCGGTTGATTTCAGAAGTCTTCACGATCAAAAGTTTTTGTCATAAATTAGGAAAAATATTAATTAATTTTCTTTTACGAAGACGTTAAAAACCATATTATTTTGTGATACTTTAATTTTTTTTATAATCCAGATTTATTTATTTGATTTTTCAAACAGTATAAATATAAGAAATATATATATATTTTTTGACAGTTTTTTGCTACTATTGTACAGCCAAAACATCCTTAAGGTATACCCCCGATACGTTTATCGATTAACGGTTACGAAATTCTCGACTGCGATTCGACCGGTGATGAGATCAGGGCAGCGAGAACAATTACGTCTATTTTCACGTAACACGCGCGCAAAGTTTCCTACAGAGTCGCAAAAATATTGCGCCAGATGCACACAGGCGCAGGCGAGCATTCGCGTCGGCATAAGATCCCAAGTGCACTGACCCCTTGGCCGCCATGCGAAAGGCGACTGTGTGTAGGAAAGTGATAGTTATGAATACTTACGTACGATCGTAATACACACGTCGCTTTATTACTTCCCTCTAAAACCGCGATATCGACTTCCGCCTCTTTGATATTGGCCCATTCGACCAACAGCTGTCTTTTACGCGACGTTTCCAATGAGTCATCGAACGATACGTCATTTGCCATTCTCTTTTTATTTTCACAAATAATGGATGATAATGTAAATTTATGTATATGTACAAGTGTGTGTGTGTGTGTGTGTGTGTGTGTGTTTGTATGTGTGTGTGCAAAGATATACATATATCTCTTTCTCTTTCTTTTATCGGTTTAATTTTGCCTGAGCATTTTGACATATATATGTAACTTTATTTATTCGCGAAAGCGCAAAAAATGTTACAAAAAAGCATATAATCATAATTAAAATAACTATTATAATTCAGCGTAAATATGCATACAAGCGTGAGATTATGGTATTTAAAATTAATTCTCTCTTTTGACTGTAATTTATACCGCTCTAAGAAAAGCAAGAAAAATATCTTTCTAGTCCTTTCAATTCATACCTAGCGATTAAAAAAAGTACTTCCACTGTTTAATAGCCGCCTTTCGCGGACGAGTTTATCGAAAAGAAAATAGAAAATAAAATCAGTCCGTAGCTTTCGTAATATGCCACAGAGGGCAGCACGTTCCGCGCGCCTAATTCCGAAACGGAATGAGAAAGGCGCTGCGAGCACCACCGGCCGACGTGTTCGAGAACACGCGGCTTAATTTGGAAATGATAAATTTCTACTTTTCCAGCGATAAACAATCGAGAGGTTAATTCAAAGAGATACTCACAACACTCTCGTCCGCCCCGCTGCAACAGCGTCATTGTTGGAACTCCGATCGTCGCATTCGACCGCTAACCGTCGTCGTCGTGGAGTGGGAGCCAACGGACCCCGTCGTCGTTTCGCCAGGAACACGGTTACTGGTTGCGTCACTCGCGGCACAAGCATTCGCGCACTTTCGCGACACCGTGACGTCGCGACGCGCCCCTCGGCGCGCGCCGACGACGATCACGAACGTATTTTACTCGTGACGGAAGGCGCGAACCGTCCGAGACCGAGCCTGTCAAACGCGGGACAGCCGCATGGCATGGCGACCGCGAGAGCAACTCAGCGCGTACGGCGCTTTAAACGCTACGTCACCGTCTCTAAGCCGCGCCGTCATTGGCCGCTGCGGCGCGCGCCGGCCAATCAGGCACGCCCTTGCAGAATCGCGCGGGAAGCTAAAGACGCTCGGCTACTGTGCGCGCCGAAAAAAGTTTCCCCGGAAAAAATAAAGAAAGTTATTCTTGCACCGGTCGACTCGTCGATTCGCGTGGCACTGATACTGTAATAAAGACGATTACCGTGACGTTAATTATCCTGATTTTACGATATTACATATATATATGTATATATATATATATATATATATATTCGAATTTATCAACGATATTACATTCAATATTGTAGCTATATATATGTTAGGCCGGATTCACACCTTGGCAGAATAGCAGAAGCCAATCAGAACTCGTGCTAGAAAAGCAAAAACCAATCAGAACTCGCGCTGAAAATAAGCAGTACATTTTGCTTTTTCAGCGCGAGTTCTGATTGGCCTCTGCTTTTCTGCTTTCTGCTTTTCTGCCAAGGTGTGAATCCGGCCTTAGGCAAAAGAACAAAACGGAACTATCACGCATTAAAAGATGAAGCGCAATATTTTTGAGCCGATTTATTATTAATCTATACATACGACACCGATGATATTATTATTATTATTACTCTAATCATGATTAAATAAAAATGCAACGCGGTTAATTATCTCGATTTAAATGTCAACCCAGTGAGCAATATGTTATCAAAAGAAATTCATAAAGTACTCAAGTTTAAGAGTCGGACTTCCGAAAACACCATCAAAATGATAATATTATGATATCAATAAGTCCTCCAATGCGTCGATTTTAGAGGAAAGAAAGACATCATATAATTGACATCTAAAAGAATTCCACAATCTGATTTCTTATTTTAAATATCAAAAAAATGTCACCGTTAAGAACCGTTCTATTTGTAGTACTATATTTTTGGACGAGTTTTTTAATTCATCGATTGATCAATCGCATGATGCACAAATGTAGCAAATACAGGACTTTGCTGTACTTGCGCATCATGCGATTGATCAATCGATGAATTAAAAAACTCGCCCAAAAATATAATACTACAAATAGAACGGTTCTTAACGGTGACATTTTTTTGATATTTAAAAGAAGTCAGATTGTGGAATTCTTTTAGATGTCAATTATATGATGTCTTTCTTTCCTCTAAAATCGACGCATTGGAGGACTTATTGATATCATAATATTATCATTTTGATGGTGTTTTCGGAAGTCCGACTCTTAAACTTGAGTACTTTATGAATTTCTTTTGATAACATATTGCTCACTGGG